CTCTACATAAATGTAAGCTATTGTTGTTGAAAACAAGGTAAAGCAATAGAAAGGTTTACAAGGGGAACTAATGCTGTTTGATGGACCTGAGACAGCAAGTGCTTGCATATGACAGAGCTGATCTGAATCCTTTCTTCCCAGACAGCCTCATTAAAAAAAAACTTGGAAACAGGAGCTCTTGGTGATATTTGCCTTTCACCTAATTTGGGGACTGAGGCTAATTGTAGCTCTCTTACCATCCCACTAGCTGGGAACAGCTAACACAGTACACACCAGGGGAGTGAACCCAGGCTGTTCAAGCCTTTATGAAATCCAATATTTCTGAAGTGAAAGGGCCTGAACTTTATCTAACAAGCTGCCAATAAACATTTGGCTTCCAGAATACATCCAAACTGGAATTCATCTGTTTTCATAATTCAGTGCTAAATATAAATATATATTTTGGGTTCAGTTCAAAGGAAAGGTACAGTTTCCACAATTCCACACTGCTGAACTCAGCTGTGTTATTTTGTGTTGAGAAGGTGGAGGGAACTAGCCTTAGATAAGGAACAGGTGTTTGTTGTATTATTCGGGAATTCCAGATTAGAAACACAATGAAACTGACTTGTGCCAACCTTTCATTGGAATCTAGACTGAGCTTTCTTTCCCATCTTTTTTTCTCTGAATAGCCTGGTTTTTTTTTGTTCCTAACTGTTTACAAAAATGTCAAAGGTCACACTGAGGATTTGCAAAGCATCAGCTGGAATTTACAAACCATTCATCACCAGGCTGCTTAGAATTCCTGTTGTCCTAAAGGATCAGGATCTGTACACATGGGAACAGAAATGTATTTGCCCCAAGGGGTGCTTGCAATTTACAGTACCTTTGCAGATTTAGAAACGCTATGCTAGGAATACTGTGTACACTCCCCAGATGGACAAAGTGATGACGTGTTGGATCTCAGCTTTATTAATGAGTTTTTCTCTCAATTCTTTTTCATTCATCTACACGATCTCCAGCTGTTGTTGACAGGTTGCGAAGGGGTGAAACACACTGAGTGGCTCCAGAAGTTTGGCACCAGGGTGTTGTCAAGTGATTAATTTGCTAATTGAATATTGGAGCATATAAACGACCAAACAGATGTTCTGATAGATTAAACCATCGTAAAAATGCTAGTTAACAAATACTTAAGAATTAGAGTAAATTACAAGTATATATTTGTAATTAAGGATTCAGTATATTGTATGTGCTGGTAGAATCTCTGCCCGTTCCTACTTTATAATCTATGACTGTAACTATCTATAGCCAAGTAGGTATGGATTTTAAAAAGATCAAAAACCACTTTCTTTCTGCAATGATCACACTGATCCATGTTTTAAATGTCCATTTGTAAATTAAATACCCTTTAGCACACATCACAAATTTTACCCTGTTTACAATTAAAATGAGATTAAACCACCAGTATATTGAAAACTGCTGGATATCTGCTGTTTCAGGAACATGTCCAAATACAGCAGTTACAAAATAAGTCTGCAAATTCTGGAAATTATTGCACAACAGCCTGTCAGCTTTGGGTTCATGATGGTATTCTTGTCTCTGAGTTAGGAGGTTGGGAGAACCGCTGGAGTACTGCACTGACATCAATGCTACAGTTTTATCCCTGATTCAAACGGAAGGTCTGTTTGCCTTCAGCTGAACATAAAAACAAATGCAATGTTTTGAAGGAGGATGGAGAAAACATTTTCCCACTGTGGCAACAGTTTGTTTCAGTTCACTCAGGGAATCTGAGTTGCCGCAGTGACGTGCATTTTTATACGTATGTTGTAGCCTGGAGTTATGGATAGTGCTGGTAGACTCTCCAATATTCTTTCCATCACATGGCTGACCAGGAATCTGTCCCACTCTTACCAATGCCACTGGCATATGTTAGAAGAACTTACATGTTGATAGTCAAACAGTTTGGCTACATTATGAATGCATCTACCTTGGCCATTGAGTCCTGGAGTGGGACTTGAAACTGTTGAAAAATGGGTTTTTGGCACTGAGGCAGGGATAATTACCTATTGTGCCACAAGACCTCCATCTCCTAGTTTACTGGCAAATTGGCATCCTTGCATCAACATTGTTAATGGAGATTATTGGTTCATTGTCTCACTGTTTGTGGGGACATGAAGTGCACGACATGGCTGCCATCTTTCCTACATTTCAAGAATCCAAAAAGGAAACTCAAAAAAGAGAAACAAAGGATTGAACAGATAGAGGAAGTACTGGAAGCTTGAATGGTGGCAAAAATAAATGAAAGGATATGGAGAGGTTTCCTGAGTGCGTGGGTGTAATGGTAATGCTGGTGAATTAGACAGTATGTGTTAGGTCAGAGGGTGGGAGAGATTGTGGGGTCTAGTGGAGCTACAAGAAGAATTAAAGAAAAGGACACGATTTTGAAGTAGATATCATAGGTTATGAAGCAAATAAAAACTCATGACGATAAGAGTAATGGATGACTGCAATTTGGTTTAGGATAGAGTTGGGTTCTGGGGTAGAACTGGGGAACTGGCAGAGGGAAGACTGAAGAAATTAAGTCCCAAGGTGATAATATGTGGATGAGCATTTCATTGCAAGGACAGATAGTGAGGCAAAGGTACTCGTAAGCTATGTTTTGCCAACAAAGTTGATATGAGATTTGAAACTGAGCTCAGGGCCAAATTAGAGGTTGTGTAGGTACTGTTGAATATAAATGAATAGCCAGGAAAGAAAATGGAACTCAAATAAAAGTTTTTTGATAAATACCAACAGGAAAGTTTACCAACTTTGTGCCGCAGGAAGTGTTGGTTATTTCAGGGCTTGGTGTCAAATTGATAAATAGCACAACATTATGCATTCACTGAAGGGTGGAAATGGGATTGCAGTTGGGAGTTATTAAAGTCAATATGGAAGGTGACCTTCTTTTTGCACAGGCTGTTGTCGAGGGACAGGATAAATAAATAAAGACAAGGGTAGTTCCCCGAAACACATCATAAGTCTGCAAGTTTGACATCAGTTCACCTGGACCAGCATATTACGGAAAGCTTTCCATGAATTGCCACCTTGATGTAGTAGAGAGGCCTGTGTGCTCCACCTGGTCAGTCAAATATTCCACTTCCTATACATGTTGAAGCAGACACTCTGGAACACGTTAAGCACCTCCCATGTCTTGGCAGCCACCTATCTCAAAAGGCCACTGTTGATAAAGATAATGCAACACTGGATGAGCTGAGCCAGCATAGCTTCTACAAGCTATTGCTGTGAGTGTTTGATATCAAAAAGACCTCTGCAAGATAACAGAAGTCCTTATGTAATGAGTAGTTGTCCTCAGTACACTCCTGTACTCCTGCAGTGAGGCCTGAATGGCATATCAGTGACACACAAGAGCACCAGAGAAATCCCACAGCAATGCCTCCACTGCACTCTCCAAATTCAATGGTAGGATTGTCAAACAAATGCTAGTGTCTGTCTTGAAGCCAATTCCTTAAATATTCAAGCAAAACACTTGCAAAACCAATTGAGAAAGACTGGACACCGAGCTCTGACGGCTGAAAAATTCCACCTCCACCAGGTTCTGTTTCCTCAGTTGTCAAATGGCCATCATTCCAGGGGAGGGAGGACAAAGAAAACACTACAAAGATGCTTGGAGGCTCCTATTGAATTGCAGCTGCATTGACAGGAGCAACTGGGAGAAACTTGCTACAAATTGTTCAAAATGGTGACACTTGTCCATCAAGCTGCATCATGATTGGAGTCCAAAAACATTTACTGATGAGGCAGAGAAGAAAAGAAGGGGAAGAAAATCCAGATTCCTCCATCTCATTGAATGTTCTGCGGTATGACTGTATGTGGCCAAAGTATTACAGATTGAGAATCTGCATGTTCAGTCACGTGAGACCTACAATAGTAACTAACAGGCTTCAATTTGATGGATTTATTGTCATGTGTATTTTGTTACAAGATACAGTGAAAAGTGTTGTATTGAGTTGCCACTCTCTGGCGCCGTGTTAAAATACCATAGAATATAAAGGCAGAAAAATAAAGAATTAAAGGAAGTGTGCAACTTTACAGTGCTTCTTGTTAAGTGCTCTGTCATGGGCCATGGTGGCCAGACACAAGTACCCCTCACCACTGGAAGGAAAGTTGCCACTCTTCAGTGCCATCTCACCTCCACGATGCTCTTGCCACTACGAGTACCTACTGGACTTCACCAGTGCAGATGCCACCGATGCTGCAGGGTACCAGACCAGCCCAAAATCGACTCTGCCTCTGCCACTGCTATGCGAGTCCGCTTCAGGCCCATCTTGCCGATGACGCCGGGTCTCGTACAGGGCCCAGATTCGCCTCCGCCACCGCCCCCATGAATCTGCGCTGGAAGCAGACGGCGTTGGGAACCCAAACTCGCCTCCGACACCGCTACAAGTCCGTGCTGCTGGGCCTCGCTGCTACCGCGACCAAGCTCTTCACCAACAAGTAAGTAAAGTAAAACACAACAGAAGGAGAAACAAAAAGGGGTCGGAGCGGATGAACGCTGGGCTCAGAAGCCTTACTCCACAGCCAACACACCCTTGAATTGAAGGACAACGTCAATGATATATACATATATATAAAATCAACATTATACAAACTGACTAGCAGCTCTACCCTGAACAATATCCAGTTAAATATCAGGCAGGAGTCCTATAATGGCATGGAGTTTAAACACTGCGCATTTAAGTGGGTGCAAGTAGAATGACCACTTGGATCAGTTAGTGGAGGGCAGCGGACAGCCATTGAACTGAACCCTGGGATCTATGAGAGGAAAAGATTTGCGGGGCAAGGGCTGTTAAAGTTAAAACTGGGGAATGAAGTAGCCTTGTTGGACCAAAGTTTGGAAAACTGTAGGGGTTAACCCGGGAACAAAATGCTGGTGAAAGGATCATTCCTGCCGCAATGTGGAGACTTTACTAAGTGTCTGCAACAGTCAGAAAGTTATAACAATTGAACTGTACTGAGCTACAGCTTCAGCATTCACCAGTGAGTTTTGTCTGCCCCCTCTTTTGTGTGAGGCTTCAGCCTGCTCCCCCAACCTTGGTTGGTGATAATGAGAATAATGGATGAGCTCCGGTTGAAGGGGTTTTGGTTTGCACTGATCGGCACAATTTCCGCCAATTTTTGAACCTGAAGTGGAACTAGAACCTTATTCGGATTTTTTTCTCTCTCTCTCTCTCTCGGTCCCTCTCGTCTCATTTGACAATAGAAGGCGCAGACAGTTGTCTCTGTTGGAATCCCTGACAGCTCCTGTATCAGCGTTGAAACAGAGCGCATTTCCTCCCTAGGGAGCTGAACTAATATGAACAGAGACAATCTGCAAAACGCAGATAGAGAGGGGCTACCCAGAGCACTGTCAGAACGCTGTCTGAAAATTCCCACAGGGCCACTCTGTGGGGGTACGTTGTGGATTTTCTTTTATCATTCACATCACGCGGTTGTGTTTGACAAGGACTAATGAACGCTGACACAGGGAGGTTATGCAATATTTATTCAGTGCCTCAGAGACATGGCAACGTATTGCACCGACCCTCCGCTGTAGGGCAGTTATGGATCCCTCGTACTATTTCCATTAACCCTTAAGGAACTGCAACAGCCGGCTGTCCCAGTGGGAGAGGTAGGAATTGAATGCTTTGTGCGACTGAACCAAATTCCAGCTGCCACAGACTGCATTTTGCAATAACATCTTACCGAAGTTTTTGGCAATGTTTGGGCAAACACAGTCGACAGGACTGCAGTTGCAACTGGTTTTGCAAATACTGCACCGAGGAGAAGCAACAGGCCTGTACACAGTATGCAGCTGTGGTTAGCCCTGGAGGGAGTGGCTGCTGTTAGACAGTGCAAGACCGAGGGGGCGATCTGTGTTAAAGGCGAGAGAATCAGATTCAGGATGATGTCTGACATCTGGGAAATGTGCTATCAGAATGTAATACTGTTGTCAAAGAGGCCTTCACTGTACCATCCAAGTGGGTTCAATCCCGAAATTAGAAGTGCAAGGATATTTTTGTATGTGTCTGTGTGCAGTACCTAGATGTACTGTCACCGTAGACCCTCTCATCTTATTCTCACTATTGCATACATGAAAGCAGTGCGGGAACCACGGGAGGATGTGACTGGGTCGGCGGGGGGTAGGGATTTGTTTAATCGAATCATCACACTGACAGGGAAAGGTCAGCTTACAGAATAATGCGTGGAGCAAGCTGTCAGTTTGTCAATACTCATCCAGCTAATTGATCAATCCACCCTGTTAAGTAGTTTGTGGGCCTGCACAGCGAGATTTATAACATTTTAAATAGACATCGATCAGGCACAACTTATCAGAATTTGGATTTTATGAATAGCCCTGGTGATGGTGTTTGTATTTTGAAACCTTGCAGAATTCCCAATGGTCAGGGCTCAGAAGCAAATTGAGCCGGTGTGTGGGAGAAACAAACAAGGAGGGGGACGGGGAACGTGACTGAACAAGAGTCAGCTAACTAGACCATATTATTCTCACTGCAACCAAGAGGCATTTATATAAACAGAAACAAGCCTGCTTTGTCAGCGCACCAAAAGCCCTATCTCTAATCCTAAAATTGGCTTCATGAGATAGACAGTTGAACAGGACATCATGATAAAGCTAAGCATTTCCAGTAGAAAGCTATTGTTCTGTTTTAATTAATCTTCCTGAAAGCCAAGTAAATGATCTTCACTGTCTGACCATGGTCAGGAAGAATTCCAAATCCCCTGTTGTCTCTCCTTGGTGTAGGTGGTCTGCCTCAACCCTGCTCAGCCACAAGCACATCAAGATCCTGAATCAAAATCATTCACCTAAATCTGTAAAACAAATAAAAGACCTTGCAGTCAGTGGATCAAATCCTGAAACTCAAGTCCTTTCAACAAACTGCAAGTTATCAGCAGAGTGACCAGCCTCAGGGAACTACCTTCAAGATTAATGTCCTGGGGAAACCTATCCCATTGCTAATTGTAAAGTAGAATGTGGGAGGGTTCTTGCCTCTGGATTCAGGTCCCAGCATTTCAGTTGTGTGTTATAACATTTGAACAGAGTGGTTAGGGCTGCATCTCCTGATTAGCCCTAATTACCTTATGACAGTTAGGGCTGTAGAAGAGATACACACTCCCATCGGCCTTATCTAGCTCAGGACCATTAGAGCTTAGCTGCACAAACAGTGGACATCATTCCTGTTTTTGTTCACTGTTCTACATCTTACCCTGGAACTTATATACAATTAGAGTTGTATAAGATTGTCATGCTTTAGGATTGAGCCTCTAAGGCCAAATTGATTCATTTGATCATATCTTTGGTCTGCCCGGCAACCAGCCTGGGTGGTTTGATTTTTACAATTAAAGGGAGGCCAGATGTTTTATGGGGAAGAAGGTGCAAGATGTTTATAACTTAGAGTCTCAGGGCTCTTGTAATGCAGTGGTAGTGTCCCTACTTCTAAGCTAGAAGGCCTGGGTTCAAGTCCCACCTGCTCCTGAGGTGTATCACAATGTGGCTGAACAGGTCGATTAAAAATGTCTAGAACTTAGAGACAATGGCACCAGCCTGTATTCTAACAGTAGATCGACTGTGAGTCTCTGAAGTCCCTAAAAAGGTGTTGAAAATGTTGGGCTGTAAGTAATGGTGCTTTGCACCATCCATTTACTACTTAAATAAAATAGAATTGTGGTGGCAACATAATCAACATTTCTGTCCGGTTAGAAGACCTATATATTTCACCTTGTCATAAAGGTGGGCTTTGAGAGGGGAAGCATATCTAAGGTATTCCTGAATCTCTCAGGCAAGGCTAGTCTTCCATGATCTGGGAGAGGGAGGGCAGTCATAGGAAGCAAAATGCTGTATTTCACCATGCAGGAATATGGTGGGAGTTTGCACTTGGGTTGAAGATTTGCCCAGCTATGAATAGGTTAAAAAAAAATCACCATAGTCACAGACCATAGGGCTGCTGTCTCACACGAAAGAGAGATGATTTGTGGTGAATTTACCCTGAGGGTCACCATGCCTCAGATATGAGGCAAGGTTGAGAAGGCAGGACCTCTAGAATTTAGAATTAGGTTTATTGTCACGTGTACTGAAGTTGCAAAGAACGAGAGTACAGTGTGAAGTGTACAATGTAGCCAACACACAGTGCCATCTTCAGTACAAAGTACCTAGGTGCAATCTTTGGTACAATGAATAGAGAAAGTAAAGAAAAAGTTGTACTACATTACAGATGTACGTAAGGTGAGGTGAGAGTGACAGCCCTTGACATCAAGGCTACATTTGACCGAGTGTGGCATCAAGGAGCCCTAGCAAAACTGGACTCGATGGGTAGCAGGGGGCAAACTCCCCTGTGGTTGGAGTCATACCTGACACATAGGAAGAAGGTCGTGGTTGTTGGACGTCAGTCCTGTCAGCTCCAGGGCATCTCTGCAGGAGTTCCTTAGGGTTCCGTCCTACGCACAACTACCTTCAGCTGCTTCATCCGTGACTTTCCCTCCATCATAAGATCAGAAGTAAGGATGCTCACCGATGATTGAACAATGTTAAGCACCATTCATGACACCTCAGATACTGAAGCAGTCTGTGTTCAAATGCAACAAGATCTGGACAATATTCAGGCTTCGGCTGACAAATGGCAAGTAACATTCGACCCACACAAATGCCAGGCTATGACCATCACCAATAAGAGACAATCTAACCACCACACCTTGACATTCAATGGTGTTACCATCACTGAATCCATCACTGAATCCCCCACTGTCAACATCCTGGGGGTTACCATTGACCAGAAACTCAACCGGACTCGCCACATAAACACAGTGGCTACAAGAGCACGTCAAAGGCTAGGAATACTGCGGCAAGTAACTCACCTCCTGACTCCCCAAATCCTGTCTACTATCTACAAGGCACAAGTAAGGAGTGTGATGGAATACTCCCCACTTGCCTGGATTAGTGAAGCTTGATGCCATCCAGGCCAAAGCAGCCCGCTTGATTGGCACTACATCCATAAGCATCCACTTCCTCTACCACCGATGCTCAGTAGCAGCAGTGTGTACTATCAAGATGCACTGCAGAAATTCACCAAAGATCCTCAGACAACATCTTCCAAACCCACAAACACTTCCATCTAGAAGGACAAGGGCTGCGGATATATGGGATAACCACCACCTTCAAGTTTCCCTCCAAGCCGCTTACCATCCTGACTTGGAAATGTATTGCTGTTTCTTCACTGTTGCTGAGTCAAAATCCTGGAATTCCCTCCCTAATGGCATTGTGGGTCAACCCACAGCAGGTGTACTGCAGCTGTTCAAGAAGGCAGCTCACCACCATCTTCTCAAGGACAACTAGGGACAGTCAATAAATGCTGGCCAGCAATGCCCACATCCCACAAATGAGTAAAACAAAATTAGGAAAATAAGTATAAAGCTAAAAAAGATGGACATTACCTTCATAGTGACTTCAATTAGCATGGGAATTGAACTGTCAATGCCATTCTGCATCAGAAAGCAGCTGTCTAGCTAACTGAGCTAACCAACCCCCAGGTAAAACTAGAAGAAGTCTCAAGGAAAAGTTGCATCTTGAAAGACAAGTTCAAGGTTTGCAAACCAAGAAAGGAAATGGTTGCAAGTAAACCTTTAGTGCCGAAGAATTTATTACCTAATATAGTGTTTAGTCAATTGTGCTCATTAAATGTCTTAAAGTGTGAAATATTGTCATCTTTCAACCATTAACTGGAAGTTTGATTTTTCTCTTTTGAACAGTATCTCTATAGTGATCAAAGCAAGGACGATTGTGGCTGTGATGCTATCTGCAGCTAAATGGTGTTCGCATGTGAAGAATAGCTCGTGAATTGAAAAGCACCTCAATGATACAATGACAGGGTACTCTGGAAGCACAGACTTGTATTGCAGTGCACACTGGTGATCTGCATTGAAAGAATGTGGTAGAACCACTTTGCACCTATTGACAGGAACCGAGTCATGGTTGCATTGGACCAAGCTGGTCACTTGCTTTCATAGAACTTGCTCACTTAGTGCCCTCCTGCATACTCACAGCATCCCTGTCTTGCCATCTGTGCCAATTAATGCAGTCACATAACCTGGCAACTTATCTCAGTGGTCAGCAGTCCTTAGTCAAGGTGGTTTATATGTTGCCATACGGCAATGTGTGACATCAGTTTCATCTGCTCCACATACCAGTAGCTTACACAGCAAACAGGCTGCGTGTCCAGCAAGCAGCCAAGTTGCAAACTCCTAAGTAGGTAGTCCTTAATAACATCCATGGAGGTACCCATCAGTCAGGGGATTCCTGGAACAATAAGTCAAGGGCTGCCTCCAAAACCAGTCCAGGGGATTGGCCATGGTCAGACATACAGTTGGAATGTTCTCCCTTGTGGTTGCTTGCTCCCAGTATTTAGGTTAAAGTCATCTCTATTGCCCTGGTTGACAACCTACATCAGAACTGGGAAAAATTAGTGATGCAAAAGATTTTGAACAAGATTTTGGAGCTCAAGCACAAAAGAATGGTCTGTGACAGAGTGCAAAGGCTGGAAATGTTGAATGAGATAGGCAAGTTAATATTACAGGGCCGAAGAGAATAGTGGTGGGCTGAGAACAGGACAAAAAAAATGGAATTGTAACATATCAAATGTTCTGCTATCTGAAAGCAAAAGCCAAGCAAAGCATACCAAGGAAATGAATCAAGTTGTGTGTTGGATGGTGGGGAGGGAACATGAAATGGAGTTTATTGCCTGAAATTGTTGACATCAACCTTGAGTCTGGAAGGCTAAAGTACCTAATAGAAAGATGAGGTCCTGTTCCTGAAATTTACATTGAGCATCACTAGAACTGTGCAGCAGGCCAAGGACAGACGTGTCCGTATGAGAACGATAGCATTAAAATGAGAGGCCACTGGAAGCTTGGGGTCATGCTTGTGGACCAAGTGGAGTGAGCGTCACAAAAGAGCAACGTAGTCCTTTCTCAAGAGGGTGCTGGGTCCCCAGATGTCGGACTGACCAGGATCAGAGAACCCCAAGAAAGAAACCACTTGGTGATAACACAAACTGCCCCACAATAATGTGCAGAGCTGGATGAACACAGCAGGCCAAGCAGCATCATAGGAGCAGAGAGGCTGACGTTTCGGGCCTAGACCCTTCATCAGAAAAGGGGGAGGGGAAGGGGGTTCTGAAATAAATAGGGAGAGAGTGGGAAGCGGATAGAGGAGAGGATAGGTGGAGAGGAAACAAATAGGTCGAAGAGGCGGGGATGGGGCCAGTAAAGGTGAGTGTAGGTAGGGAGTTAGGAAGGGGATAGGTCAGTCCAGGGAGGACGGACAGGTCAAGGGGGTGGGATGAGGTTGGTCGGTAGGAGATGGAGGTGCGGCTTGGGGTGGGAGGAGGGGATAGGTGGGAGGAAGGACAGGTTAGGGAGGCGGGGACGAGCTGGACTGGTTTTGGGATGTGGTAGGGGGAGGGGAGACTTTGAAGCTGGACTGACCTATCCCCTCCCTAACTCCCCACCTACACTCACCTTTACTGGCTCCATCCCCACCTCTTCGACCTGTCAGTTTCCTCTCCACCTATCCTCTCCTCTATCCATCTTCTATCCGCCTCCCCCTCTCTCCCTATTTATTTCAGAACCCCCTTCCCCTCCCCCATTTCTGATGAAGGGTCTAGGCCCGAAACGTCAGCCTTCCTGCTCCTGTGATGCTGCTTGGCCTGCTGTGTTCATCCAGCTCTACACCTTGTTATCTCAGATTCTCCAGCATCTGCAGTCCCTACTATCTCTGCCCCACAATAACTCGGTCAAACCTGATGCCCAGGATCCCTATTGAACTGTGAAAGAGCATGCTAAAGTCTATTTTATGTCCAGGGAAACTAAGATTTGACTACCGGTCTTTTGGGATCACCCCCCATGGTTCCATTCATTTTCCTGAAACTTAATAACAGATGGCTCAGCTGAGGGGCCACTTTTTGATTAATAAGCTGGCCAGCTATGAAAGGGAGAGATCATGTTTGAACAAAGGCATAGCACCACCTACTGACACTCACTGCCATTACAGCAGGTAGCAATGAGAGAAAAAAATCAGCAAGGTTTCGAAAGGATCCATCTATCGCATTCATCTGTTTGCGGAATAGCTGGAGTGCAACTTGATTATCAGACTGGAAGCATTGATATGGTATGTTGGAGTCATCTGAAACTGGTTAATCACAATCCAATCTGTTGAAAGGAGATACAATTTGCTACGCTAGCAGAATACACTAGGTATTGACCATTCCCTGTTATACAATCAGCAGACTTTAAAAAGTGCATTTTTAAAAACAAAAAGCATTTAGTTTTCAAATTCTCATTTTAAATACAAATTTTTAACAATTTAGCAGATGTTTTCTTTCTATTTCCCTGTAAAAGTGATCTTCTAATTAAACACAGACCGAGAATCAGCACTGACAGGGTCTTCTAAATCTGTGCTCATCAGTATCAGACCAAGTTGTGCATTAAAAGCATCAGTTTTATTAGAGCAGCCTTGCAGCTTTTCTGCCCCTTTGTTCCATCATATGCAGATGCTGGTGACTGAGACAATTTTCCTTTGGCACTAGATGCCCTCTGCTGCCTCAGCAAGGAACCATTCCTTATTTGAAAGGCTTGACAGTGAGTGTTGGCAGATTTGTCAAACCATACTTGTTTCCATCAACTCCTGTTCAATTTCTAACCTCCACTTTCTTATCCAAGGTCCATTGAACATGCCAACACCAGCCTGTTGTGTTTGCCTCTCTTCCAAAACACACACTTTGAATGCCATTGGCCTGCACTCTACACCAACCAAAATACCAAGACTACACTTGTCAAAGTCACCAGATATCTTCTTTGATTGCAACTGTGGCAGTTTACTCCTTGTTTAACTCTGTCACATTTGACAGTGTTCATCACACCAGATTCTCCACCACCACTCCTCTTTGGTTCACTTCAGTGGAAGTGCCTTTGTTTGCTTTACCCGGATACCTGTCATAATATGACCAGCACAGCTTCAGTGTTGGAATCTTCAACCACTCTCTAGCAAGGTCTTCTGATATGCACATTGTGGTGGTTGCAGCCAAGGTTATTCCTGTTTTAATTTGATGTCTAAAAAAATGCACATATCTTCTGGCAGCTGATTGCTGGATAGTGATCAGGAACAGGAACTTCTGTTAAGTTTCCACACCCTTCCTCAAAGTCAATGAGATCAATAATAGCATCCTTGTTGGCACTCTAATGAAATAAATAACTCAGAAATTGAATCTGGGACCTAAAGATCGATGTGATTGAGCTTAATGTTGCCTTTACTACCTGACCAAAAAGTGTAGCGTTTAATAACAGATTTCCTCATCATTCCTAGTCTAATAATCAATTGCTTCCACCATTTGGTTTAGGACAGGCTGCTTTGGATTTGTGCCCAGGAACAAATATTAAGTGCAATATCTAAGATTTATCTCTGGTAATGTTCAACAACAGCAGAAATCATCACATTAAAGACTTTCTTGAACTAAAACATTCATATACTTCTTTAAAGGATGAATCTATTTAGTTGCTTATCTGCTTTGAACAGAACTGACCATATGGACATCTCCCAAGAAGACCAAGATATCAAAGAGCAAGTCAGGAACTCGGACAGGTCAGATCTCTATTTTAACCATAACTGAATAAAACAGGCTGTAGAATGCTATGTGCATGCTGTGGACCAATGAACAGGCTTGTTCAGTGAATTCAAAAGTACAAAATTGCTTCCAGAAAATGACCTGAAATTAATTAGTTGCTTCATCTTAACAAGTACATCAGGTGAATGAGTAACTCTCAAATGTAATGCTGAGCCAAAAGATCAAAGCACTGGCCACTGGCCACAAAGGCAATTCCCCCAAGGACTTTGCCAGTGCTCCATGGACATTGATTTTTTTTACCGTGTAGGAGAACCAAAGGACAGAAAAAATAAACAAGAAATGGAGCAAGTTACAAATAAACCTGGGAAAGGAGAGAACCCCTAGGTTACACCTACAAGTCTCTTAAAGAGAATTAATTCACAAAACCCAATCCTTATGTACACATACATATTGGTTTTTAAGGCTTCACAGTAGGATCACTGAATCCAAGAACATGGACTGTACACCTTACTTTGAGATGTGAAGCAATTTGCTGACTGGAACCCTTCCTTTCAGATCATGCATGGTCACAACTGCACCAGCTCAGAAATTGCCATCCCATTGAAGCAATTAATCTCTCTCTCCTTTGAACACTGTCAGCCAACAACTGCACTTGCATTTGTATAGCACTCCTCATTTAGGATGTCTCAGGGTAGAAGAGTGATCAATTACACTGAGGAAGCAAAGCAAACTGGGGGGAAATTAAGTCCTAAAACACCTTACAGGAGGCCCTTGAACGTGGGGAGAGAGTTAGTGAAATTGTATATGGAGAAATTGCAGAAGGAAGACACACTGTGACTGAAAGTATTTTCTACTGATTGCGGATTTCCAGCTGGTACAGGACACCTCCTGTGTTTCGTTACAGGGGCCTTTATCAAGTGTTTCACAACATTTTAAGCTACTTTGTCAAAAAGACAATTATTCATTTTTCCTTTTGTTATCCTCAATTTTTCAATACTCAATGCTCAAACCTTGTTTGTTTCTCAGCAGCATGATTAAGTTGAATCAAATAGTTTGTCAGACACAGTTTAATGCTTAAAATGTTTCTTCATGCATAAACACAGGCTGTAATGAGTAATTAATAAAGAAAAACTGAGACCTCATGAAGCAGTGTCAAAATAATGCAATTTTGATTTTCCAGTGATGCTAGCATTTCAGAAATGTACATTTGAGTTCAGAACTATTGCTTTCAGGAGTAACAGCTCTTGATTATTCTGGCAGGAGGAAAATGCTTCAAGTTGCAACCAGTTTACACTCAGGCTCAGTTGGAAAGAACTACATTTCAACAAGATTCTGCTATTGGAGGTTACTGCTGGACAGCAAGAACCTTGATCAAATCTCACTCATACATTCAACTCTGTCAGGGGAGTGTTTGAAAATTCTCACTATAATTAAAGTAAATGATTTGGTTTATCACAAGATGCTAGCAGGCATGGTAAACCATTCAGCCCCTCTTAATTTTACTCTGTAAGATTTGTACCTAGGTACTTGTACCTAAGATGGCATCATTAAAAGGCAGCCATTGTAAAAATGTTTCACTGTACTCCTGTAATAAGGTGTAGAACTGGATGAACACACCAGGGCAGGCAGCAGAGGAGCAGGAAATTTCGGTCTGGACTGAAACGTCAGCCTTCCTGCTCCTCTGATGCTGCTTGGCCTGCTGTATTCATCCAGCTCTACACCTTGTTATCTCAGACTCCAGCATCGGCAGTACCTACTATCTCTCACTGTACTCCTAGTACAGGTGACAATAAAGGATATTCAATTCAATTCATCCATAAAGTCTCTAGTCTTCCCACTGTTACACTTGTTTTGAAATGTTGCCTCCCCCTCTCCTGTATTTCAAAGTCCATTCCATTATTATCAGCCCTAAATTGTCCTCTTATTAAATCAGACCTGTGCCCCATCATTCAGTTTCCACAGCTTAATGTGTTCCACTCTGGTATGTTCTTTACTATTTGCTATCTCGTACAGCTCTGTCAAACATCTTTACTCAACTTGGAGAGAGGCTTCTATATCATGTTGTTCCAGTCTCCTATCTTAGAGCCCTGGCACTAAGGAGTAACCTCTGCACAGCTACAGTGCATCAATGGGTCTCATTTCTTGGCACAAACGACTGGAAACATTACTCGAGTCTGACCAGAGGGCTGTAAAACCTGTCCACTTATTCCAAGAACTTCATATAGATCCAAACGGAAACTGCCATTTTAAGTACCTCCAGGATCACAGTACCTGGACAGCAAATCACACAACAGGTGGGAAGTGTAAGAAATTGAGGCATTTGTCCTGTGAGCGTTATCAACATCTTGTCAATCGCACCTACTGCAATCATTGCTGGTGAGACTAGGTGTTGGAGCTGGTGATGGAACACTGACCAAACTGGCTACTTTGTCCTGGCCAGTGTTGCTGTTACTGCACTCACCCAGGCACGTGGAGATTGTTCCATCACATTCCTCACTTGTAGCTGGAGGAGAACTTTTGCAGACTCTGTATGTGAGCCACTTTTAGCAAAATACTCAGCTTCTAACCTGCTCTCGCTGCCATAGAATTAATGTGGCTGCTTCAATTGGGTTCCAGGTTCATGGCAACCTGATTTGGAATGTTGAACAGTAAGAGGAGGTGAGTGGGCTATTGTTCTAGATGGGCATTGACATCCCACAAGGGCTAATATTACTTGACACTCAGGAGCCCAAATCTGAACATGGTCTAAGACTTACTGTGTGCAGGCACCAACTGTTTAACAATAGCAGTCAACATTTATTGACAAACAAGTTTATTTCAAGTTTTTCAACACTGCATTTGTTATCAAATTACATTTCTGTATCTCCCTTCTGATAAAAAGCAGTTTCCCATAATAATTGACACATGTCTGTGGCCACACTACCAGACACACTGCTGGGCCAGACATTTTATCATTGTAGAATACCAGGTTTTGCAAGCTCTTGTTTAACAATGAGGTTCATGCAAATAGTCCAAAGACCACAAATATCACAGAAATACATCAGTCCATAGAGTCCAAACTGCACTGATCCATTATCTCATTTTAACCATCAATGTCATTCCTTGTGCTTTCATAAAACTCTGAGATGTTTCAATGATGTGACAAAGTGCTTTCTATTGTGAATTGTTTTCAAGTGCCGTGACTCTGCATATGCAAACCATTCCAGATCTTTGGCCAAAAGGTCTGCTATTATAACATTTGTGATTACAGTGTGTCATGCATCAGAGTCAGAAGATCAGGGGTTCAAGGCCAATGCAGGATTGGAGCACTTGACTTAGGCAGCTAATTCAGTGGATTCCTGAGGAGCAGTACACAGTCACAGGTGATGTCTTTCAAATAAGACATGAGACTTAAGCCCCATTCGCTTGTTTAACTGAACATAAAAGATGCCAATTGCACTGTTCAAAGAGCACGCATTTCTCCTGACATCCTGGACAATCTGTATCCCTAAGCTTATACCTCCTAAACAGGTCAATGGAAATCAATGTTGTGCACAAACTGGATGCCAAATGTGCCTAAAAAAACAACAGTGACTACACTTTGGAAGTAATTAATTGGCCATGTAGCTATTTTCCTGAGAATGTGAGGAGCTACAAAAATGCAAGTTCTTTTTTGTCAATTTCTGATGCCATGAACTGCACAAGAGGGCAGCAATTTAAAACTGGCACAACAAGTCCCTCTCATCAGCTACAGACTGTTAAAGAATAAAGTGGAAAACCAGTTTGGCATCATCAGGAGGCTTAGTAGTTTGAACAATTCCAGTTGTTATACAATAACCAAATCGGTGTTCCTCAGCTGCCTGTATAGCTGCAGAAGTTTGGCCGCAGTATCAGTCATATCGATTTCCACCCTAACACACAACTGGTCACGCAATGACTGCACCTCTTTAAGCAGGCCCTGAAATAAAACAAAATCCAAAAGGAATTACAGTGTGAACAATCCCAGCGAGATCTCTTGCTCTTTCTGCAACACAAATGGGACTGTCATTCGGGATGTGATTCTGGGCGGTCTAAAGAGAGAACTCTGAGCTGCTGCATCCTCCCATCCGTTCCCAAAATTTGGAAAATTGGTCAATTGTCCACCTGGATCACACACCTTCAAGGGTAAAAGTGAACTTGACCAAGTAAAAGCAATCTCATAATTTGTTGCTTTAGGAATTTCAAACTTTATTGCATTTTTGTTGGGATGGGAATTCTGTTCATGGAATTAAATCACCAAGACAAGACAAGACAAGAGGGATTTTTAAAAAACTTGTCTTTATTCTTGGGTTGTGGGCACAGTGTTAATTCCCATCCTTAGTTGCCCTGAGGGTATTTACAGTCTTCAACATTGTGTGCAACTGGAGTCCCATACCAGCTAGGCTGCTGTATTCTTCAGTTCTTTGGAACTTTATATACTGTAAAGGCAAAATGGGAAGCTTTGTGTATTATCATCTACTGCCACCAGAGGCCTCTAGGATGCCAGGAAAATTCTCCGTTAAAAGACTCCTTACTGCGGTAGGCATTTTCTTAAAAGTTGACACCTAATACCGGGGATAGTAGGAACTGCAGATGCTGGAGAATCCGCGACAACAAGGTGCACAGCTGGATGAACACAGCAGGCCAAGCAGCATCATAGGAGCAGAAAGGCTGACGTTTCGGGCCTAGACCCTTCATCAGAAA